AAGATGTCAGAAGGAACATATTTTTCAAATAACGTATGTTCCTACAACAAAAGCTGGTCTTTTCTTCTTGTTTCTTCAGAATGATTTCAAAGCTAATCCAGATTTCGCCTTTGCACATGCCGTGTAGCCATTAAGAAAACGGACTACGGGTACGCGCAAGATCGATAACTGATTTAATTCCCGTAAGATTACCATCCGCCCCTTTCCTTATGAATAACTGTTACTTTATGAATACAATGCAACCGACGCGTAGCCGCAAGTTAGAAGACAATGTGTGATTACTCACAGCAGTAGGAGGCCGCTACCCCTTCCCAGCAAGGAGTCAACACAGCAGCGCGTGACCCTCGCTTAATATGGGATTAGTGACTAAACGGGAATATATAAAGCGGGTTTGGGAAAATCTGGAAAAGGAAAGAAAAGAAAGAAAGGCGAAGGTTTGTGTAGCGACAATAGTGAGAACAGTACTCACAACGCATCGGCTATAGACCACAATTCAACGAACAGTAGCGAAGCGACCAATATACTATATGCGAGCCCAGAAGCAATGGACCATGCAGGTAAACTGTCTGAACCTAAAACATCTACACCGCTATCGATCAAAAATATCAACGAACAGTTTTCAGAGACACCTAGAAAGTTAGACTTTATTATGCATAAGCTCCAAAAACTTGATATCATAGAAGGAAAAATTCAGGCACTAGATAATAAAGTCGTTTTTCTGTACCTTGTTTTCCAGGAAAACGACTTTATTATCTAGTGCCTGAATTTTTCCTTCTATGATATCAAGAGCTGAAAAACACAGAAATTGAGACGTCAATAACATTTGTTTCGGAAAAATTGGACGAAGTGCATAGCAAAACCGAGGAAATTCCCCAACTGTCTAGATCGTTAGACAAGCAGAAGAATGAAATTTCCGAGCTTACAGAAAGTATGGAAAGACAAAAACTTAACGTGGAGCAGTTAAACAGTGAAATAGTTAAGTTGTCGTAAAAGGAAAAGGAGCTTTCAAAGGTAATTATAGACCTGCAATGTAAATCGATGAAATATAACCTTGTATTTACTGGCTTGGGAGGCGAGACTAGGGACGAAGATACAGAGAGCAAATTGCGAGATTTCATATATAATGAACTTGTAATCGAAAGAAGGATAGAGCTAGGAAATGTTCACAGATTCGGGAGGTATGTGCAGGGCAAGAATAGACCAATAGTCGCGCGATTCCTTTATAACACTGATAAAGAGGAAGTGAGAGGAAAAGCATATAAATTACGCGGCACCCAGTTTGGTATACACGAACAGTTTCCGAAACCTATTGAGGACAGGCGACGCCAACTCTACCCAATTATGAAAGACTACAAGAAACGAGGAGAAAAAAATGTGAAACTTGTGAGGGATAGACTGTATATTAACGGAAAGCTGTACGATGAGCGAAACGTCACGGATCACAATGCATTTACCGCAACAGGATCTCAGCCATACGAGAGCCCGGGGTAGGGACGCGAGCCTCTGACTAACATCAATAAGCCAGAAGAAAATAACAGCCTTTCATGTAAGCTATGTTCAATAAATGTTAGAGGTTTAAACAAGCATTTAAATGACGAATAATTTATTCAATTTTGCATTAATTATGATTTGATTGGAATTTGTGAGACTTGGCAAACCGCATTTGATGAGTTCACTGGCAGAATGCCTGGGTACACGAATTACGACAGCCCACGAAAAATGAGTGTTTTTGTTAAAAACGAGCTGGTCGACAATAATCTTATTACTCGCGTCCACAAAGAATTCCATTAGAGTGTTATATTTTTGGTTGACAAACGTTTATGTAACACGCAGTCCAATATTGTTCTTTACTTTACCTACATAGCACCAGAGAGATCGACCATATACAATGATCAAAATAGCAATGGAATAGAATTGTTAAATGAAAATCTGGCGTTATTAGAACTGGACTTCGGACCATGTGTATCATTTGTGATTGCAGGTGACTTAAATGCGCGAGTCAAAGACCTATTGGACTATATTCCAAATGACACAGTCGTATTTATATTTAATGGAAATACGGACTAACCCAGTGATACATTCTCTTTACCACGGAATAACCGTGACACGGAACTTAACAATTTCGGCTTGTCATTGATGGAGTTATGCTGCACTAGAGATATACATTTGCTAAACGGTAGGTTAAGTGACATGAGGGTAATGTTACGTGCACCGCAAATAACGGAAGGAGTACAGTAGACTATATTTTGTGTTCAACAGAACTCTTTCCCTTCATACAGGATTTCAGTGTTGGTGATCTCGATATATCTGATCATTTTCCTGTCTCATGCGAGCTCCAACTGTATTACGATAAATCGGCTAGACAAAACATTAACAATAACGAATGCGAGCTATCTAAACATCAACCATTTAAATGGAATGAAACATATAAAGACGCTTTTTTGAGCAAATTTAATGACTTATTTACCGCATTTTCAAGGAAGGTGACGCATTGTTTGCTATGAAAGAGCATACTAATGCTAATGACGATATAAAAGAAAGTATTTTCAGAGATATATATTATGTTAGAGACTCGAGTATACTAGATAGGGATATAACGGAAGATGAAATTATTCAAAGTGTTAAATCACTTAATAACCGAAAAGCAGCGGGTATTGATGGTACATGTATAGAAATGTACAAGCAAACTATAAGCAAAACATTACCTTATTTAAAAATGTTAACAAAGTGCTATCGACAGGTAACGTCCCTCAAGACTGGTGCGTAAGCCTAATCACACCAATTCACAAAAAAAGGAGCTAAACTAGACCCTAATAATTACAGGGCTATTTCTGTAGTGAACAGTCTTAGTAATGGGCCGAGGAAAATGGTGTGATTGACGAATCTCAAGCTGGATTTCGCAAGGGGTATTCAGCAACAGATAACATCTTTAGCCTTCAAGCAGTTATCCAAAAATATTTGTCAAGACAGAAAGGTCGACTTTATGTTTTTTACGTAGATTTTTTAAAAGCTTATGATAATTTTGTCCATGAACAACTCTGGAAAAGCCTGCAGCGTAAAGGAATTCCAGACAACAGTAATCTACTATTAGTTTTTAAAACGATGTACATGTATAACCAACTCAAATCGTGTATAAAAACACAAAATTGTCTTACTCCATTTTTTCCATGCGAAATTGGAACCAAACAAGGATGTGTGAGCTCTACGATTATTTTCTCTCTATTTGTGAATGATTTGGTCGAATACATGAAACTTAAATGTGGTAATGGAATCTTTATTACTGCAGACTTTACAGAATTGCATGCCTTAATGTTTGCGGATGACGTCTCAACTATTGCGGAAACTGTTATTAAGCTACAAAGACAAATTAATCCAGTGAGTGATTTTTGTGACGAAACAGGTATGAAATTAAATCTAGACAAATCCAAGATAATGGTATTCAGGAGAGGTGGCGTATTAAAAAAATGCGAAAAATGGACATATAAAGGAAATAGAATTGAGGTCGTATCCAGTTATAAATATTTAGGAGTCCTTTTCACTCCTCGATTAGCTTGGTCTAGAACGCAGGAACACTTGTCATTACAAGCGATAAAGGCATCTAACGCAATATTCCGCTGTCAAAAATATTTTGGATATTTTGATTATCAAGAAGCCTTTAAACTATTCGATGCAACTGTGAAACCGATTTTAATATATGCAGCAGAAATATGGGGATTTCAACAGTGCGCAAAAGTTGAACAAATTCATGTCCGTTTTTCAAAAGAGTAGCCTGCTTAAATCAAAATGTGACAAATGTTCTAGCATTAAGCGAATGTGGTAGACTCCCTCTTTATGTGTCTTATATGACTTAATGTGTTAAATACTGGGTCAAACTGTTAACCATGCCAGCAGAAAGGTACCCCAAGCAATGTTATATTATGTTACGCCGTTTAGACACCGAAGGAAGGTCATCCTGGGCAACTTGCATTAAAAACTTATTATTTCATTATGGTTTTGGGTACGCCTGGATAGCGAACGATATCGGGGATGCAGAGGCGTTTTTAAGTTTATTTAGAACTAGAATAACAGACTGTGCACAACAAACTATATTTGCCGATATTAATGTATCACCTAAATGCATCAGTTATAAACTCTACAAAAGCGCTTTAAATCCTGAACGATACCTTTCACTGTCTTTAACCTACAAGCAAAGAAAAATACTTTCAAATTTTCGTTGCTCAAGTCATGAGCTCATGATCGAAAGAGGCCGTTATACTAAAATCGACAGAGATCAAAGGTTTTGCCCTCTATGTCTCAGACTAGGCATTCACACAGTAGAAGACGAAATGCATTTTTTACTTTTATGCCCCTTGTACGATGAATTCAGATTGAAATATTTTAGAACTGAATGGACATCCCGCTTTCCAAATAAATATTTGTTTACAACTATAATGTCTGACGAGAACGAAGAGAGTATTTTCTCACTGGCTAGATTTTTATTGAACGCCTTTACTCTAAGAAGTGAAATTGTAGATAACAATGCTAACCTTCCAGATATGTAAATGAAATACTGGTATATGTATGGTGTATTTATAATTTATTTCTGTATGTAAAGCCTTGATTTTATATGTCTTCTGTGTCTATACAGATTGTAATGTATTGTTGGCCAGAGGCCTTAAACTACAAAGAATAAATCATCATCACACTCAGTGACTGTCCACTTATGATCGGTATTTGTAACTGACGAGTAGCTATTTTTTAATAGTGACTTGAGCATAATTGTACTATCGGTGTTGATTGTATTTTGTTTTTTCCTGGCACAAAAATTCAGATATGACATGTTAAACTTTCTTAGACAAGTCGTCAGATTCTCGCAACGAGTTGCACGTTGATGTAAGTTGATACACTGTACCATTTGTTTCCAGTTGATGTTACGTTGATGTTACTATATGTTATATAGTTGACAGTTCAATAAAATTGATTGGCACCCGCAACAGTGAAACTCGAGAGATCTAGACAAAATGGACGTGCAACAAAAAATAGAAGACACAGAAACGGCCAGCTTATTTAGCAGTTTCAGCACGAGCTCAACTGAAGCTCGCTTGAAAGCGAAGGCAAAAATTGAGACAGAATTGACATCTTTTGAAGTGAAGAAAAATTTGGACGAACAGGAATTGAAATTGAAACAACTAAGGGAGAAACTCAAGTTGGACACTGAAAGAACAAAATTGTTAGCAGAGGAAACTGCGTATGCTGAAGCTGAGATGGAGTTCAGTGCCAGAGTAGTCATGATGTGATTCATCATTTAGTGAACTCTATACAAATTCTTAAAGTTGAAATAGACAAATTTGACGGAGACCCTCTTCAGTATTGGAATTTTATCAAAACTTTTGAAAATAGTGTGGAGAAAGAAACTGTGGACAGCAGCGCAAGATTAATTCGTTTGCTTCATTAGTGGAAAAGCTCATGGTGTAATTCAGTGTTGTGCTGTAGTGAACCTTGAAGATGGATATAAGAAGGCTAAAGCATTGCTTAAGGAAAGATTTGGTTCAGCCTATACTATCACGGAGACTTGGGTTAAGAAAATCACGACAGGCTCAGCCATAAAGGCAAATGATGTTACAAAATTGAGGGATTTTGCCGACGAGTTAAGAACATGTGCTGAAACGCTTGAAGCAATGGGAAATTCCTCAGAGTTGAGCACACAAAGCTCACTGGTCAAAATCACTGAACGCCTCCCTGGTTATTTGGAGCACAAATGGAAACAGGAAGTACGTAAGATAAGAAAGGAAGGAAGGTGCCCAGATATTAAAGATGTCACTGCATTTGTTGTTGAAAATGCAGAAATAGCAAATGATCCAGTGTATGGTGGCCTAGCACATGTGAAAAGGAGTGACAGTCGCAGTGATTCACAGAGGCGACCCAACAACCGATGGAGTTACAGTATTACAGCTACCAGTTTACAGCCTATTGGTGACACAAGAAAATCTATTCAGTCACCATGCATTAAGTGTGGCAGCATTCATTCACTATTTGGGTGTACAGAATTCAAAGCCATGAAATTGCCTGAGAGACTCAAATTTGCCAATGACAATAAACTGTGTTACAACTGTTTAAAGCCAGGACATTTCTCTGAGATGTGTAGATTACAACGTACATGCTCAGTGTAAGGGTGCAATCAAAAACACTAAATTCTTGCACCAGGTGAAGCCAACTGTTACAAGGGAACCAGTTCATGAAGATTGATCTCACATTCAGACAGGGCTAAACACTTCTCTCAGTGCTGTAAATGAAGTTTCGTATGGAGCTCATAGGACCAGAAAGGAAAGTGGTATGCGAATTGCCTTGCCAATAGTACCAGTGAAAGTGAAAGTTCCAGAAAAATCACAGTTTGTGCACACCTGTGCGTTGCTGGACTCGGGATTCACCAGTACATTTTGCTCAGAGGAGTTGATGCAGTCTATTGGTGCACAGGGTGAAAACGCAGTGTTAAAGCTTACGACCTTAGAAAAGGAACATAGTGTCTCAGAGACTGTAGTGATCAGTTTACAGATTTCTGATTTAGAAGACAAAAATGTGATTGATTTGCCAGTTGTGTATACAAGACCATCATTACCTGTAAACATGGAAAACATGCTTCGTGCAGAAGACATCAGAAAGTGGAGTCACTTACAAGATGTGCATTTTCCTGAAATAGATCACATGAATGCCAAGGTGAGCATAATAATTGGGCAAGACAATCCAGAGGTGCTTATGCCTATTGATGTGAAGAGAGGTCAAAATCCAAATGAGCCATATGCGACAAAAACTGTGTTGGGCTGGACATTAAATGGACCGCTTGGTGGCAAGGGTAGACATGTTGCCATGGCAACATTTATTCAGGCAGATCACGAGCTGAATGAGCAATTGGAACAGTTTTGGAAAATAGAAGGGCATGGAACATTGATATCTGATAAAAAGGGTTTATCAATTGAAGACAAGCGGGTCCTCGCTTTATGGGAAGATAAGATTCAACATGACGAGCATTACAGTTTACCGATACCATTTAAAGACAGGCAGCCTCATTTTCCGCCAAACAAGCAGATGGCCGAGCAACGCCTAGACAGCTTAAAGTGAAAATTGTCACATGATCCTAACTTACATCAAGCGTACACATAATTTATGGAGGACTTAATTGACAAAGGTTATGCAGAACAAGTCAGCCCTGAGGAAGTTGACAAAGAAAACGGCAGTGTATGGTACCTACCCCACCATAATGTTGTGAACCTAAAAAAACTAGACAAAGTAAGGGTAGTATTTGAATGAAAAGCTAGCCATCAGGGTGTCTCATTGAGTAGTCAAGTTCTACAGGGGCCAGACATTGTGAATTCTTTATTAGGTGTATTGTTACGCTTTAGACAGCACCCTATAGCCATCATGTCTGACATAGAAGCTATGTATCATCAAGTGAAGATACCAGAAGTGCAGAGGGATTCTCTTCGTTCTCTATGGTGGCCTAAAGGAGTTCTGGAAAGAGAACAGAAAGTTTATCGAATGACAGTACATTTGTTCGGTGGCAGATGGAGTCCCAGTTGCTGTAATTTTGCATTGCAACGCACAGCAGAAGACAACAAAGGTCATTACGACACAGAAGTAGTCAATACTGTTTTACAGAATTTTTATGTAGATGACTGTTTAAAGTCGGTAATGAGTGAAACAGAGGCAATCACCATGGTCAGTCAATTACAGAGTCTGCTGCAAATGGGAGGTTTCCACTTCACGAAGTGGACTAGCAACAGCAGAGAAGTGTTATCCAAGATACCAGACATAGACAAAGGCAAGCCTACTAAGAACCTTGATTTGAATTTACAGGCCTTGCCGACAGAACGTGCTCTTGGTGTTTGCTGGGACATAGAAGTGGACAGTTTCATCTATAAAATGGATCTTGAGAAGAAACCATTGACCAAGAGAAGCCTTTTAAGTGTCGTCAGTTCTATTTATGACCCCTTGGGCTTTATTTCTCCCTTCACTATCAGTGCGAAGAAGATATTACAAGATTTAACACGTGATAAGATAGGTTGGGATGAAACTGTGCCTTACAAAACCCAGGTAGAGTGGTCAGGTTGGAAGAACAGCTTGCCCAAGATGAAAGAAATGAAAATACCAAGATGTGTACAGCCAGTACAGCCTGAGAAGATTGCCAGCATTCAGTTACACCATTTTTCTGATGCGTCTACCATGGCATATGGTAAGTTACCTCCGTGTACAAGACATCTCAGGTCAGATACGTACTTCATTGTTGATGTCAAAGGCTCGGTTGGCACCGATCAAGCAGCTTACAATTCCGCACCTCGAGCTTACAGCAGCTACTATGGCAGTCAGATTAGATTACATGATACGACAGGAACTCACTTTTCCTGTGTTCAATTCTATATCTTGGACAGACAGCACGTGTACTTTGAGTTACATTCGAAGTGAAGTTAAACGATTTCAAACATACGTTGAAAACAGAGTCTCTATTATCAGAGAAGGTTCAATTCCGTCACAGTGGCACTACATCGATTCAAAGAGGAACCCAGCTGCCGATTGCACAAGGGGACTCACTGCCCATGAAATGGCTAACAGTATCAGATGGATTGAAGGACCAGAATTTCTTAAGCAGAGTGAGTGCCACTGGCCAGAAACTCCAGATGTTAAGGGAGTGTCAGATGAAGATAAAGAGGTAAGGAGACCCAAGACATGTCTAGCAAAAAGAAGTGAGTCAGTACAAGAATCAGTGATAGATAAGATTCTAATAGCAAGACATAGAAGAGAAAAGGTGAATGTACCCACATGTCCACTTTCAGTGGAAGAAACAGAAAAGGCAGAGTTAGAAATCTTGAAGTATATCCAAGGGCAACACTTTGGGAAAGAGCTCTCAGAAATTAATCGAGCTGTAAACAGTCAGAGTGGTGTTAAACGTGCAAGTAAGCTGTTTAAGCTTGCACCAGTGATGCATTCCTCAGGTGTGTTAGTAGTTGGTGGTAGATTGAACAATTCAGCTATTTCAGAAGGGATAAAAAATCCAGTGATTTTACCACACCATATTGTAGATTTGATAATTGAAGAGCAACACAAAGCCTTAGGACATAGTGGACGGAATATGTGCTTTCTGAATTGAGACAGAAGTATTGGATAATAGGAGCAAGGAAATCCATTCGCAGAGTCATCAGCAAGTGTGTCAGATGTTAGCGAAACAATGCGATACCATGTCAGCAAAGAATGGCTGATTTGCCAACAGCTAGAGTTACACCCAATGAACCATGTTTTACTTATGTGGGTGTGGACTATTTTGGTCCATTTTTGATTAAACGTGGAAGGTCAGAGGTTAAGAGGTATGGGTGTTTATTTTCATGTTTAGCATCAAGAGCAGTGCATGTTGAAATAGCGCAATCACAAGCTACTTCATCATTTCTTAATGCCCTGCAGCGTTTCATTAGTAGACGTGGAAAACCCAAGAAAATATTTTCAGACAATGGAACTAACTTTGTTGGTGCAGAGCGTGAATTGAAGGCAGCTGTCACAGAATGGAATCAGAGTAAGATGCATGATTATTTACACCAGAACCACATAGATTGGCATTTTAATCCACCCAGTGCTTCACATATGGGTGGTGTATGGGAAAGATCCATCAGAACTGTAAGAAAGGTATTAAGATGTGTTGTGACAGAACAGGTTTTAGATGATGAGAATCTTGTCACTTTAATGTGCATTGTGGAAGCAATTGTGAATGGGCGTCCGTTGACACCGGTGTCCAGTGAGCCCAATGATTTGGAAGCGTTGACCCCAAACCACTTGTTATTGTTACGCTCTGGGTCTGTGCTCCCACCAGGTAATTTTGATAAGACAGACACATATAGCAAGCGCAGATGGAGGCAGATTCAGTATTTGGCAATCATTTTCTGGTGCAGGTGGATAAAAGAATACTTACCTACTCTGCAAAGTCGTCAAAAGTGGTTGGAGCCAAAGCGAAATTTGAATATTGGTGATATTGTGTTAGTGATTGATGAAAATGTTCCTAGAAATGTGTGGCCAATTGCTAGAGTGGTAAATACTTATCCAGGAAAGGATGGACTTGTTCGCACAGTTCAGATTAAGACTAGGAATTCTATATTGATGCGACCAATACATAAACTGTGCTTGTTAGAGGAAGCGCAATAAATGAACAATCATTATAGTGTGCAACTGTAATTTTAAGGGGAATCCCCGTCAAGGAGCCATCAGTTGACCTGAGTGAACTTTTTATGTTTAGACTGGCGCATTGTATAAACTCTGGACTGGATTAATTTCAGTGTTATGGACTGTTAAATGTATAGAATCTTTAAAATTAAGACCGTTTTCACATTTTGTTAAAAAAGGGGGTTTGTTGTCATGTGAATGGCAGGTTGACATATGTGTGAGAGAGATAGATATGCTTACAATGTTGGGTTATATTATGTACGGTAATTGCTCATAAACTTTGTTGCATAATGCTTATATACACGTGGTAATGGTTATTGAGTTTTAAAATGGTTTAATAGAGAAGGTAAAGTTAAGTTGATAAAATTGTTTTGATATATGTATGTACAGGTATGTAGTATGGTAATGGATGTTAAGTTTTGGATTTGTGTTAGAGTTTTGATATTAAATGATAGTTTAAGTAAATTGTGGGATTCACAATTTAAGGGAGCCATGTAACTGACGGGTAGCTATTTTTTAATAGTGACTTGAGCATAATTGTACTATCGGTGTTGATTGTACTTTGTTTTTTCCTGGCACAGAAATTCAGACATGACATGTTAAACTTTCTTAGACAAGTCGTCAGATTCTCGCAACGAGTTGCACGTTGATGTAAGTTGATACACTGTACCATTTGTTTCCAGTTGATGTTACGTTGATGTTACTATATGTTATATATCGTTGACAGTTCAATAAAATTGATTGACACCCGCAACAGTATTGTTCGCCTTGGTTGCAGCACACTTCCTTCTCACTATTGGCACGCACGCCTTTCAAACCTTTCCTCAGCGTCATTGATGTATTATTAAGAATCATTGTACTGTGGGTCAATATCTATGGTTTTTTCGTTTCGCATTTTACCAGATTTAGCTGACGCTAGAAAACTAAATTTTATAAATAATTTTCTCACATGCACGTACACGTATCCAGCTAATTTTACGACAATTACTATTTGCATTGTGTTTCCTACTTATATACAACTATACCAGGAACAGTGCACAAGAATAGACTGTTGTCTATATTTAATGGATGTTCCAGAACACATTTTGAGGATCGTGATATTCTATGGATATACTATCGATGGTACCTGTTACCCCCTCCTCTATTCTAGTGTAGCATCACTCGTATCACAAGATGGCCTTAGACTGGGTTCCCATACTTAGATCGATCCATCTGGATCGACCTAACTCCCTGGGGTATCACGCTAAGTTGCTATCAGCACAAGAGGCTAAAATGTCTGTCACGCCTTCTGAATCAGCTAGGGGTAAAGCTAATTACCCCCAAAACAGTTTTACAAGGGGTGACAGACATTTAAGCCGATAAGTTGACAGCACGCTATTATTATTATTATTATTATTAGTATTATTATTATTATTATTATTATTAGTTGGCAAATCCGCTAAATTACTAAAACGTAGAAATTATGCGTTTCGCAGCATGCAGTACAGACTCTCGGGGTCCCGTCAAGGAAAGTTCTACAATAAATGTGCATTGTTGTTTCATATGCAGAACAAACGTTTTCCCACTTTAAAGTACTAGAAATTATATTATTTCATAGAGTTTTATTGCTGAAAGTAGGCCATGACAAGTATTCTTCGGAATTGGAACTCTTTTCTTGGAATGGCTGTTCATTGCTACATGTAGATGGATGTGTGTCTAGATAAGGTAGGGAGTACTCTATGGCTGGTGATATTACTTAATTACTAACCTGCTTTTCTCGCCTAAGACCCAAGAACAGGAGGAACCGATGTTTGACGTATATCTCCGAAAACCACTGTGTATTAATTACAGTTTGATTCAAAACGGCCTTTAAAGTGAAATCGTCCAAGGCGGTCGGTAGGTCGCCTCCACTGGCCAGACACAGCTCACGTGATCTTAACCAGGTAAGGGGCGGTCTCACGGCTTCGGATTGTAATTCGGTAAGTAATTTATAGCATTTTCCAAAGGTGCATGAGGCTTCGATACTGTGATGAAAATCTTCAATTAAGCTGTCAGACATGTCAATATAGTTTTCTAGATTGTAAGTAAGGTCAAGGTCTGCTGCATGCCGGGGGTTGGAGTCAGCGGGGAGAGGTTCTAAGACAAAATAGACTGTCCACGCACTTAGAGTGTTCCAAGTGTATTCAACCCAGGTACCGGCGTATTTAGTAAGTCTCAATATAAATGTCGGTGTGCTAGCGAGTATGCGACCTGTAGGAGCTTTGTTATGCCCTTCACCTGAGGCAGATGTGGAATATTCTTCTATTTTAAATTTGACTTCAGTCCCAACGTCGATACACTCTCTTATTTTGAATTTCAGCGAATAAAAACACCATTTGCAATACCTGTCCTTTTTTAATGTTATTGTATATGTAATTCCGGCATATTGTCGACCACAAAACGCGAATAATGTGCCTGTCGACTTAGTAACCGTTTCGTTGCGCGCTCTTACTTCACTGGCTTGAGGAATTTCTTCCGAATTCTCCGAAGTATAATTTGGCCACAGATCATTGGTAAAAGACACAGATGAACAA